CTGCTGATCAGACCCCCCAACCTCCTACACACTCAGAGTGGAGCGCCCTCTACTGTCGGGTGGTGTTTCTGCAGAACGCAGGAAGCTCTGAGGACAGGTAAACGAGTGTTTTTAATCAGGGGGGAGGGGCAGGGGGCGGGGCTAATCAGCAACCGCAGAGCTGAGAGAGGCCTTCTCACCAAACATGCAGCCCTTCACTTTACCGAAAAGTGGGAATACAAAAAAACAAAACAGACGTAAAGAAGGTTCCGTGAGAAGGTAATGAACCATTAGTATCTTACCTGCAGCAGGTAGCTCTCTGTATGACCTCAGCTAAAAGAAATAGGCATCAGTTCTCACATTATTGACAAGTTATTGGCTAGTGTGAGTGCTGCCATGGCCAAATCTTTGCCATCTTTAAAATAAATAATAAATAAACTGTTATTCACATATGGTAGACGTCTATGGTTGCAAGCTAAACTTTGTGTTTGGTATATTATTGTAACAGGGCTTCTTGGCAATAAATCTTATATCATTGGAAAGTCTATTAGTTTTATTTTTAAATGGTGCCACATTTGTAAGGAACAGGCATTTGTGGGATGAGCAGTAGAGCAGAGAGGGTTTCGCATGAGAAAAATTTGCCAAATCTTCTCTGCCAAACAGCTTATTTTACTGTTTTTGTCAGGTTGTTCATCAAAAACATCCAAAACAGGTAAGATATTAACCGTTAAACCTTCCATAGAACCCCACTCCAAAACCTCTGAACTATCCCTTTAAAGATATTAAATGAGTACACTGCTTCGATATACTGTACTGCAGCTTCACCTGTATATAATGTTATACGGAGCTAAATGAAGGTAAACGTGAAGCCTCTAGTCACATCCAGGTCTTGCTGTGGTTTCAGTTCTGACCAAAGATCAGGTCCATAAAACAGGTTTTCTTATAAAACTGTCACCAAATGAACTGCTGTTAAAACCGCCGGCTGGCTGGCGATGGCGGCGTGGACGCAGGGGGGTCCACCGTAAACTCACAAGAAGTGATTTTAAACGCCAACCGTAAGCAGGATAATGTGATCTTGATTTATTCAGCACATGAATCACAGCTCGGCCTTTCAAACAGGCTGCGGTGTAAACACGCCCGAGAACAAAAGCCTCACCAGACGGACAGAAAAAAAAAAAAGGAGAGAGAAAATCCTCATAAGTATTCCCATCACTCCCTCTGAAGCAACAGGACCGCCTATTGTGGCCCCGCTTTCTTTCTTTCTTTCTTTTTTGATGGCACAGTTTCTGCTTACAAGGTTTCAAGGCTGAAAGAAAAAATCTGAGTATAAATAAATGAGCAGAGCTGATCAGGATGCTGCTGCCATGAGGCGCGTTAGGCATCATTAAGCTGATAATTTGGGAGGGAAGTGATGAGCATCATGATCTTTGTCTGCCAGGATTTTTTTCCCCCCTCCCCGGAAGCAAAGTAAATTATCCAGCATCCTTTTTAATGTGCTCATGTGACGCTCAATCATTAAAGACCCCAGAGATGCTGAAATATTCGCTCACATGAACTGGTTTGGAAAGGAGGAAACAAATAAAAATGGTGAATTTGTCACATTTAGATGAGAAAATAATCCAAAAGAGGATACTTTTCCTTCATCTAGAGCTTTTGACCACATCAGTCTTCATCAGGAGTTTAAACACTTTATGTTAATTCCTGTTTGATGCTTTATTTATTAATAACTAGATGACTCTGAGTTTTTATCTGTGGACGTTTTCCTCATCAACCCTGAAACAACTAAATGCAAATCATTAAACACCAATAATTTATGATAAAGTGCAACCAATCTGTACAGTGGGCACAGAGCTAGCTTCTTATTTAGTGAATTAGCTTCTTTTTTTTTGCTGCTAACTTTGGAAACCTTTAGGGGATCGATTAGTTTCCACTAAATTAGGTTTTGAGTCTAACAAATTCATAAGTGTTATTTTTATTTTTTATGCCATTTCTACAGAATTTAAAATAAATATTTTGTCTTACAAGCGATGCTGGACGTGCAGGCACCATTAGCAGCTAAACTTAAAACTTAGAACGTCAAAAGGAAATAAAATATAATTTAACAATATTTAAATAACGAACACAAAAACTGATTCAAATATGATAGAAAGTATTTGATTTTTTTTTTTTGTTTGACTAACTTCAACATTATTCATAAAACTACAAATTCAATTAAATAAATGCTTTTATTTTGAAAGGGGTAGGTTAAACAGAGCTATATTTTGTTTGGCTTGGCTGATTGGCTACAGATGACTCCACCTACCTTCAAATTAAACCAATAGAAAACTAATGCCAGTCTTCAGCTGGAAGATGAGGACGGTTAGTGTTAGCTAATTATTTATCGGTTTAGCGGTGGCAGAGCTAAGATTTAGCAGATTAGTGRTTAGCTGTGTCCACCACTGCCTACATTTTAATGTTTGCAGTCTGACACTAAAGCATCAAAAACCAAATGTTTCACAGCTGGTAAAGACTGAAATGTCTCAAAAGCTCAAAAATATAAATAAATGAGTAAACAAAAGATTTTCAGGCTTTTAGCTTAATGAGCAGAACTGAAACAGGACCGGATGAGGGTGAAGCTGGTGGACTTGTGTCTGGACACATGTTGGACTTGAGGCAGGGTGTTTTTATTATTTTCATGTTCTACAGCATTAAAACCAAAACAAAACAAAAAYRTGTAGAAAGTGGAGCTGATGTGATCATCAGGGGCTGATGGGAGAAACGATCTGTGTTGGTTCCTGTTAGCACCTTTGTTTCTCCCACCGCCGAGGCCACAGCACCAGAACCCCGACCCCGAGCGGGCCGAGCGCCTGAAAGCACCTGGCAAYGTTAGAGCGCCGTCTTTGTGCCTCTGTTGATAAAACCGTGCTCTTGGTACCGGGACGCGGGCCGGTCCGGTCCATAAACAGAACCCCCCAGAGTTCAGGTCTGACAAATCTGGATTAAACTGAACGACACAAAGAGACAAAACTCGATCAGAAGTGATACGTCAGCATCTTCTGATTGGGTTCTTGTGAAATTAGCTGCCTCAGAACCTCTGAGGACTGTRGGGACTGGTTTCTGGACCGAACCATGAACCGCCCTGAACGCCAAGTTCTTTTGAACACCAGTGGAGAACACGAAGCACCACGATGATGGAGAGATGGAGGAAGTTCATGGAATATTAATAAAAACAAAATGTTTTCTAAACACCTAAAACATCAGATTGGACCYGGACTGACCTTCATGTGAAACTACACTGATGCTTCAGAGACCTGGAGCTCCTTCACGTCTCCACAGAGCTCACAAACGAGATGCCAATCCAAAAACAACTGGAGAACCTGCGAGAAATAAAAAAAATGAAGCTTTTAGTCAGGTGCTYTGGAGCACGAGACGTGAAGGAGCTCCAGAGAACACAAAAATAAAACAAATGTACAGTTTATATATATTTATATGCATATAGTATGAAAAAATAAAACCAAAACCACCTCATTTACTTCTTTTTCAGTTTAAATGTTTCTCTTTCTCAAAGTATATAGATCTGTCTCTTCTAAAACAATACGATTCACATTGGACGAGGGAGGAGTGAGCTTTGAGATGATCGAAAACACTCAAAACGTTAAAGCAAAAACACAGAAGAAGCACGACGATCGGACTTTTAAGGCTAATCCCTGGTCTGGAAAGAACATTATTTCCTTTTCTCAAACCCGTCTGACCACAAAACAAAAAGCGCTAAAAGAGAGGATATACAAGAACTTCATATATATATAATTATACACATTAAGAGAAAAAAATAGAATATAGAAAGAAAAACAGGAGCTACGGTTTGCGATGTGGAAGTACTGAATGGTCGTGAGTTTATCAGCTGGTGTTGGTTAATAACAAAATGTTTGCGTGTGAAACAATCCAAGATGTTTGTGGAGTAAAACGCAGAAGCAAAATAAAAAAAAATAAAACATTCAAATAACAAAAAGAAGTGAGCTAATCAACTCTTCCCCCACAGTTTCTGAATAAAAATGGCTACCTGGGGGTAAAAAAAAAAGTATGTTATTTTTACACTTTTAATTAGAAACTGAGTGGAAATCATTAAAACGAAACACACACAGTCCAAGTGCAACACTTTTGGTTTTCATCTCCTTTCAGCTCAGATAATGAAACTGTAAACATAAATAATCCGTTTCTTCCTTTTGGAAAGCTGCAAACATCATCATCAGCAGCTCTGGGAGTTCTCGTTTAAAACTTTGTTTAGCAGGTGGATAAACTAACAATCTTAATCGTGGCACAAAACTAAAACCGAAAACGTGAAGAAAAAGTCAGAGGAAGGAGTTTTTGGTAAAAAACAAAAAGGAGCTGATCAGATGGAGCTGCATACGATAAACCYCCAAAATTTAAGCTGCTGGTTTTCTTTCCTTCCAGTCGTCCCTGATGAAACAAATGATTTCAAAGATAAAAGAAGCAAATCTGATTGTGTTTTTGTGGTCCGTCTGCTTTCCCTGACTGTAAGGTTGTAGCTTTTTTTTTTTTGCATTAATCACTCGTGTGTCCTCTTTGTTTCCGCCGGTCTGGAAAAAATAAAAAATAAAATTTAAGCCCTACATCCACCTCGGGGTTTGCAGGAGCGCTGAAGGACCAGGAG